TGAATGTCCCAAATTTTTATCAATTTCTAATCCAATTACATATGAAAACAATATTTCTGGACGTCAAATGTTATCAGCTATTTCAAATTCAATAGAAGAAGCTATTTGGAAAGAATTGGACGAAGCTACTGCATTTGGTATAATGATTGATGAAAGTACTGATATTTCATGTGAACCTCATCTTATAATATATGTTAAGTATTGTTGGCATGGAAATATTAAAATCCGTTTTTTAAAATTACTTCAACTAAATGGTAAAGATTCAAAACCTATTTTTGAATTAGTTATTAGTTTATTTGATGAAAAAGGTGAATATTGTTTTATTGTTTATTTAATTAATTATATAATAAATTAATATAAAGTTGTTTTTTTAGGATTAACAGATAAACTTATGTCATTTGCTTTAGATGGTGCAAGTGTTATGCTAGGAAAATTAACAGGAGTGGCAGCAAGAATTAAAGAAAGAAATAAGTGTTTATTTATAACACATTGCATTGCACATAGGCTAGCTTTAGCTTGTAATTCAACAGAAAAAAAAATCACATTTTGCAAGCATACCGAAAATATCATATAATCAATTTATAGTTTTTTTTCTAATTCTAGCAAAAGAACAGATACTTTACGAAAATACCAAGAAATATTGGAACATCCAATTTTAAAAATTAAACAAATTTATGAAATCCGATGGCTTTCTTGGTATGAAGTGGTCAAAAATATATGTTTATCTATTGAACCTTTAATGGATACATTATTAGAAACAATAACTACAGCTAATAATCTTCAAAGACAAAATTTTATTTCTTTATATATGGAGATTTGCGATTGGAAATTTCTTGCTTTTCTTTATTTCTTATGAGATATTTTGGGATATCTTTCAACTTTAAGCAAGATTTTTCAACGAAAAAAAATTCAAATATCTGATATAGATCCAGTAATAGAATTCACACTTAAAAAAATTCAGCAGGAATTTTTGGATTATAGTGATGAAGGAAGATTATTATTAGGGGAAAATTTAAATAGATTTTTATTAAATGTGCCATCAGAAGAAAATTGTAATATTGGTGCACATCAATTAACATGGAATAAAATTTATGAAGTGGAATTAATTGTGGATATTCAATCTTTAATTTGCATCAGCTATTATTTCATAAATCCAAGAAAGATTTCCTGATAGACCTTTACTTAATTCTATGAAAATATTTGATCATACTAATTGGCCAAATAACAGGGAAGAACTAACAAGTTATGGTGAAAAAGAATTAAATATTTTAGCAGAATTTTATGAAAAAGAGCAAATCATTTAAGTTAACAATATTTGTGAAGAATGGTTTGGATATAAAGCAATAATATATGCGAATTATAAAAATATAGAAATTGAATTATTAATTCCAAAATTATTTGAATTTTATTATGATACTTTTCCAAATATTATCCAATTATTAGGTATTGTATATTTTATTCCATTTTCATCAGTAGATTGTGAACGTGGATTTTCAAAGCAAAATTTGATAAAAACTAATTTACGAAATTCTTTGAATATTGAAACATTACATTTTCTCATGATGGTTGGATTGGAGGAAAAGGATTTATTTGAATTTGATTTTACTAGAGCTATACAAATATGGAATAATGAATGTAAACGAAGAATTTGATGTTTTTTACAAATATTAACAAAGTAAATAAAAATATATAATTTTATGTGGCCGGTAAATTTTTATGTTATCCGAAAGAAGATCTGGTAAAATATTTTTTTCTGGATTTCTGGCCGGTAAATTGTGATTTCTATTTTTAGCCATGCCTTAGGTCACAGGTAACCTATCTTAATAGTAGTCAAGGTCTTTATGAAGTTCATAACGCAGAAGAAATATGTAACATTTACTGTATCTATCAACTTAAATGACATAGTGCTAAATTAATAGAATGAAGGAGTTTGAACTACTCTTTTTGGAGGTTTGCTTGTTCAATAGTATCCAGCAGCTTGAGATCTAAAGCAATATAAAGAACGAGAAAAATTCCAAATGGCTCTAATTGATATTTCCAAATCAATGAATACTGGTTTTTTATATCCTGCTGATAACCCTGATCAATCATTGCTTTTTTTAACTGGTTGTAAAGCATTCAAGATTATTTAAGATAAAGGGTGTATAAAGTTGATTACTGATATATTATCAATCATGAGTAGACTTGAATAAAGTCACTAATATAAAATTCAACTTTGAAGAATTTAACAGTGTATAGATGATATATTTTACATTCTCATTGAATTGACAGGACCCTGAAATATATATAAAAAGGTAAGGTGGCTTTCAAACTTTTTACTAATAGCTGTACGCAAGGGTTTTCTATAAGTTCAGTACGCAAAATTACCTCCTTACTTTGAATAATTGGAAAAAATACGCAAACTAATTTCCTGACCCACCGATCATCATGTGATTTACTGATTGTTTTCTTGATCAAACTTAACGTTTATCGAAGAATAATTTTTTAAAACACATAATTATATAAATGTATTTATTAAATGTACAAGCATTACAAATTTTTTTTGCAATAAATAAAGTGCTACATATTTTTTACACTAATAGATATTTATATTTATTTTTATTTATCTCATGAAATATATATACTGTAATATATGATCAGTCAAATTACTAAAATACGCAAAATAAACCCTTACTTAAACAAAAAACCTGTTAAAAATACGCATTTTAATAGTCTAACTGTAGCTAAAAAATCCTCAGGTTGTACGCAAATTAATATCTAACCCCGTAAAATTTCTCTATGCTGGCGACGCAATTATGCACCTTACCCCTACATATATATTTCAGGGTCCTGAATTGACCACATAGGTCAACAAAGAAAAACGGACTACATCATAAGCAGAACCAAGAAGTGGATCTATCAGTAATGCAGAACGATTGAGTAAACAGAAACAGAAGATAGGATTCTTTAGAAAATAGTAAACCAAACAACTTACAAAAGTATTGGAAAAGAATTTAGATAGTATAGCTAAACTGACTTTGTTAGCAGAAATCAAGTTCTTACTTAACAGAATAGTTTACTGACGGAATGACTGAACTATTCAGAGAACTATAGGCAGGAAGAATGGGATATTATAGTGGATACTCATTACTTGAATTATTACTAACCGCTTTTTTTACTTTATATTTTTACCCTAGCTTTTTTGTTAAACTTCTTTTTTTTTGTTTTTTGGTCCTAGGTTTTGTGTTGCAGTTACAGTGAGTCTTGTTGGACGCTCACAGGACAAAGACCTGGAGAAGGGGCTCCTTCTAAGAAAGAATGTTTCTAAAGTGGACTTACTCCACTAGTCTGGAATTTCAACCTGACAGTGCACACATGGTTGCCCTAAGTGGTGGACAGGTGGTTTGGTTCTTAATAATATAGTTTATCTGTTTAAATCATATAATTTCAATGTATTTATGCTCTTATATATTCTAATAAAGTTCCAAATGTGCTGCAGCCAAAAAAAAAATTCAAACTGGCAATATTTATATATCAACTATTAAGAAGAAGGTTGATAAAAAAATTAAATTCAGTAATATGATGTCTGTTGCAAAGATTAGTATTCAAATTACTATAGTAGAAAGTGCTAATTGGATTTCTTTTATAATTTATAATGAAATATTAAAGTAATACAAAACTAAATATTAAGTTGCAAATGGAAATAACCAGTAAATAAAATATAACTTCATTTTCTAAGATGTGTAGTTATTTTTAGAAAAAATCATAATATCAGAAGCTACACAAAAAATAAAGCTTCTGTTCAGTAAATATGTTTCTTCATTATGGTAGCTAGATAAAAACACCTGAATTCTAAAGATACTTCTTTCATTTGGGAATATATACATTTGTTTATATGGGAATAAATGTTACATACTATGTATTATACAACATTTGATTGGTTTAATATTAGCAGATTTAGAGATTAACGAAATGTAAAATAAAGAATGAATGGGTGTAAATTTTAGTTAAATTTTAAAGGGTAGAGTTTATAATTTTAGACGTTTGGCAGTATTTTATTGTTAATATCATTTATGAACATAATAATTATAAACTTAATAAATAAAAATAAATGTTTTGCGATAAATTTACTTGCTAATTGTAATCACGTGATACCGGTATTCTATAATTTATACATTTGGGTGACAACCAAAATGTACATAATTATTGCGCATGGGAAAAAATTTTTATAAAATATATTCAATTTCACACAAAAGGTAGAAGTGAAATTTCATGCTTTAGTCGCAAACAATTTTCCATTTTATATAAGTATTTATTTCATTATTAAACGCAATAAAAGAACATATAAACCACTTTTTATATTAATCACAAAAATCACTATGAATTACCGAATGACTTGATTTTTCTTTAGTTTAATAATTACTCCACAATAAAACTCATCCATTGGTTTAACTAAAAATAAAAAGAAATTTAAAATAAATATTTGAAAAGATTCTGAATACGCTTCATTTTGTTTTCTTTCGTAAGAGAACCGTGTTCTTAAATTTGAAAGCATGCCATAAAATAAATAATGAAAAGTAAATAAAGTAAATACAAAAAGAAATGTTCTTGAAAATATTTATATATAATATAAGAAGTTTAAATAATAAAGGTTGTATGTAAAAAAGTCTGCTTGGATTGTTCTAAGCAATAAAGACGAAGGGTGTATACAATGAAAAATATGTATATGTATATATATATATATTATTTAATGAAAAATAAAACTTGTGCACCGTAAAAGAATTCTTTGAACTTACTCAAGTATATTTCGGGATAAAAAGTAAAGCTATACATATTTATATTCGTTCACATCAAGTGAACTTTACCCATTAAAATACTTTAATAAAATCAAAAATTGCTTCACAGTATTATATCCAACCAACCAACCAACCAACCAAGAAATTTCTTTAAACCATTGAAATGCTTGCATTTCTTGGTCACGCATAAATATTTTTAGGCCTTTGGATGCAATCCTCAGCAAAAAGAAAAGAAGGAAAAAAAAAAAAAAAAAAAAAAAATATTACACGATAAACCTTGTTCCCAAATTCTCCGTAACATTCTCCATAATATATTGCTATACCTTATATAATACGCGTAATAAAAAATTAGCCATAAAATACAAGTAGAGTGTATAATTGGGAGTGATAAAAGGAAATATAAGAATATATATAGGTATGCATATATATAAACACCAAAAGAAATAATATACTCCTGTTTTCACCTTTTTTTTTGTTTCTATGGCAGACTACCCAAAGATGATGAACCAAAAAGTCCACCACTCGATGAATTATTTAAATCTGATCTGCTCGAAGCTGAACCGGAATTATTATCAATAGGTATTCCTGACTGCGATGATAATTCTCGAACTTGAGTTTCCAATTTTACGTTGCGATTCCTTTCTTGTTCTACCATTGATTGAAGACGTCGAATATAATCCACTGATTTACGAAGAATCACGCCTTTATTAGGTTTATTGGCAGAATCAACATATAAGTCCGGCAATAAAGTTGAGAGCTCTTGAATTTTTTCGTTAATATTATCCCGGCGACGACGTTCAACTTAATATTAGAATAAATAAATAAAATTAAAAAATTTTGACATTGAAATATGAGAATGGAACCAATAACAATCCAAACAAAATTATTTTTTTTGGCACAGTAGATGTAGACAAGTATTCTAATTTGACAATCATATCTCTTACCAGCATTATGTGACTCACGTCGACGACGTCTCTTCTCAAATAACATAGCCCTATAAAATAATTATCATTAAAATCTCTTATTATTCCGATGAATAAAAAAAAAAAAAAAAAAAAAATTCGAATCTACCTGACAGAGAAAAAAACACAAAATAATACATGCGAAAATACATGCTTATGATGTTAATTTATTGATCCACAAAAATAAAATAAAAATAAAATAAAAAACAACATAAGCTGCTTTAAATTCCTGATTAATGAATACGTACTGTTTTTGAGAATCGGTATCGTCAGATTCCATGAAACCAGAAGAGATCATTTCGTTAGAAGGGAATTGCAATGAACTTGGATGAGCGCCAGTAAAGTTGTTGTCTAAACACCATTGGTCACCATTAGTAGTAGGAAGTACCGGTAGAGACATACTGATTTGGCTCAAATTGTTCACATTGTTATGTGGATGTCTGTATATCTTACTATTATTATTATTATTTATGTTTGCCTTGACATCCAAAGGACCTATTGCAGAAGTAGTAGTAGGGGCGCTCATTGGAAATTCTTCCATATACGGGTATTCTACGTTTTCAATACTCCTGGGAGAATAAAGTGAATTATTACCAGGTGACCCCCCAAAAGACTGAAGACTGTCTAAATGAGAGGTTGGTTTACAAGAAGTTCCAAAAAGTTCAGAATCAAAGCCATGACCTGGTGGACTCCCTAAATGAGAGATTGGTTTAAATCGTTCAGTTTCAAAAGTATTTGGTGGAGTGCCACGAGGTGAGCTTGTCATTGGTGACACTAGTGTATTTTGATGATCAAAGTCCAAGTCAACATTAAGTTCTGTAGGAGTTGATTCCTGTTTTATATGGTTCATATTATATTGGAGCTGTCGCATTGACAAAATCTGAGGGTCTATAGTATCACTAGAGAAACTATTATTCGAGAGAGGATTATTTGCTTGAAAAGAATTATTAGGAGTAGGCGGTGCTCCATCGCTGTTTGTCTGCCTCTGATTTCTCAACTGAGTCTGTGCCAAATGATAAGGTGTAGGATTTGCGAGACGAGAAATGGGTTGCGGCGTTGTTTGTTGTTGCTGTTGGGGATGAACGAAAGAAGTTCCTTGTTGGTACAGTTCTGGGTTCATTTGTATATTGTCTCTAGCTGTCGGCGTTCTTGATTTATTGGTTTTTTTATTTATATATCTTCAAAATACTAAAAGTAGTTTGGTTCGAATATGTGTAAAATTTTTTTTTAAAACAAACAGAACATGCTGAGAGAGGTTGAAATAGTGGACAGAGAGAAGAAAAAAAAATTTAATAATAATATATATGACGCAAGAGACAAAAAAACAAATGTAGGGGGAAAGCAAAATTTTCTTTCGACGTACAACCTTTTTTGATCAAACTCTAGCTTACTTAGGTTCCCTATGATATCATAGGTGACATCTGAAATTAACTTTTTTCGCTATTTTGGTTTACTTATAAATTTATATATATATTATCAATAAAGAAAGGGATAAAATCCTATTTTCTAATGAATCTTAAATATAGGAGACGGTGGCTTGATTATTGAGACTAAAAGCCACATTCATTCTTGCTTATTTTGTTAAAATAAAGAAACGCAGCAAAATAAAATGTTCGGAAGATACCGTCGCTTCTTCACTAGAAGCTAAACCAAATTTATTCTGCTTGTGTAAGTACACGGGATTGGCAGTCTCTAATTAAAAGGAAGATTGATTTTCTATCTAAATGCCGCTTTACATTATTTTCTTAGCTAAACCATAATTCTGTCGCAGTAAAGATAAGAAATCCCGATTATATTAAGTATTTGTAACTTGATTATCTCCGCAGCTCATTTCAATCCGATCGAACGAGTACAAAGTTGATGTGCAAACTTTTCTCCTTTATTCCTAATTTTACCTCGCTCTTCTTCACACATACACACAAAGAGCTTAAATTTTATGTCACATTTGTTATAATAATGTGCGCTAGTTTGTACCCAAAAAAATTAAAAAACGCAATCTCCAAATTATTTAGCATGGGCAAAAACTCTTTTTCTTTCGATCTACTGCATATAATCACCTTGTAAACATTTAGTTAGATTTCAATTCGAATGAACATTTAATATATGGAAATCAGCAATTTGACAAACTATTTCTTACCAGCTTTATTATTACCACTTCAACCGAATTGGTTTTATCATTGTATAAATAATTTTCTAATCGAGATTCAATAATAACCTAAATATTTTATTTGAGCTTAATCTTTTTTTTTTGGTGCTAGATAATCAAATAATGTCGTACTTGTATCACAAATTTTATCTATGGAACAAAGGTTGAATTGTTCTTGATTCTTGTTTTCTTGTTTGATTTCCTGTTAGATAACTCGGTATAAATAAAATCACATGACTATAAACAAACAACTTTTTACCTCCACGTGACCTTCAATTTAATATTGACAAATTAAATATTAAATTAATGAATAATACCAAATATTGCAATAACAGTTTAATCTGATATTTATTAGAATTATCTAAATTTATTTCAACTATTATTAGTTTTAAATAAATAAAATATTAAATAAATTACAAGAAAAAAGAAAAAGAACTATATAATAATATTTTTATAAGTATATACTGTATATCTGGAGTCCAGCTATAATATACATGATACAGGACCCCGGATATCTCCAAAACAGGTCATAAGTCACACTTTCGGCAGATTGGCCCATTTTTCAGGGCTCAAAAAATCGTTTTTTGTAAATATCTCGGCATCCAGTGGTCCAATTTTAATGAACTTTTTTTTATTTTGTAGCCCTCATTTAGCTCTACAATTTAAAAAAAAGTTCATCAAAATTGGACCACTGGATGCCGAGATATTTACAAAAAACGATTTTTTGAGCCCTGAAAAATGGGCCAATCTGCCGAAAGTGTGACTTATGACCTGTTTTGGAGATATCCGGGGTCCTCATGATACATTTAAAAAGAATATGCATTTAAAAAATAACTAACAGAAAAATTTCTTATTTATAATACATTTTAAATCAAAAGAAACTAAAAATATAATAACTTTTTAATGATTAATACAAATTTATTTTTATTTTATTTTATTTTTTTTTAATTTTACAGTGCACGCATTTTGCATTGGCTAGTTTATTAAAATAAGATTATGTAATAAAAAATTACAACAAAAAATTATAACATAATTAACCAATAAATCACTTATTATATATCAAAATACTCATGTATACACTGTTAGATAATTAATTTAACTTAGCAAGTATCAGCATTTGAAATGCTTTATTTTTAGTATATATAGGATTCCGAAGAGTTTGCGTAGAGTTCGTTTATATTAAAATTTTTCAAAAGTTGCGTATAAAATTTCAGTATCCTACATACCCCTATTTTTAATACAACCAGTAATTCATTTTAATAAAATTTATATCATTAGATTCGTCTCGATGCGAGGATTCTAATGATAGTAAAATCGAATTCCTAGCTTCAATAATATTGACAGAATTATGTCATAAAATGTAATTTTATTTCGGTACTTAAAGTTTACTTGTGAGTTATATTAGTATTATTCAAAGTCCTGTTATAATATTATCAATTAAAATCAAATTTTGCTTTTTTTTTGTCTGCATTTTTATGAAAATTTCACATTTGACCTTCAATATAATAACATTTTATAAAATTGTTGTAATATTATTAATTAAAATTAAATTTTATCAAATATTCTGATTTTCTGATAAATAGTGTATTTTTTATGAAAATTCTATATTTTTTATCAAATGTTGCATATTTTCAGTAAATTTTATGTTTTTTTGGTTAAATATTTTATTTTCATCAGAATATTAAAATATTACATTTTTTTTTTGAAAAATATTCAATAATATAGCATTACATTAGAAAATATAGCATTTTACCAAATTACATTAAAAAGAGGATCCCAGATATCTCTAAAACAGATCATAAGTCACACTTTATTTATAAAAGGCTTGCCCTTGAATTTTATTAATTTTTGCTGTAAAGTTACTTTAGAGAATACCAGATATTCAAGAAAGAACTACAACAAAGTGCAGAACTAACTAATACAAGAACAAATAATCTTCCAAAAATTACATAATAAAGAAAAAAGCTAGATTATTTAACCCGCCCTCTCTATATAAATAACTACAGCTACTCTTCTGAGTTATATCTCAAATAAGATAAAGTCGATTATGCTATATGTACTTAGCAAAGCACTTAGCTACATTTAAAAATCCAAGTATTCCAAAGCTAAATACCATTAACACCATCAAAAATGCACAAAATTCAATTTCCCCTATTTAACTACATATTATGGATAACAAACCTACTTCAAAAAAACCTTCAGGAACTTTTTAGTCGTACAGTCCAGCTACTAAAGGAACTTTTTAGTGTTATGCAATCCTAACAGGAACATTCACCTCATTTCGAACAATCCTTAATAGAGGACATCCACCTCATTTTGAACAATCCATTAGCTTAAGATCTATCTAGATAAGTCAATCCAATGATAGTTCAACATGTGACCACCTTGATTGGCATACTACAAAAACTGTGGTACTCAACCTGTTACCTCTCTTATCACCCAAATGATCATTAATTTTGAAAATTAGTAATACTAAGCTACCATAACGATCAAATTTTCCAGTATTCATTAAAGCTCTGAACGGTTCAGGCTAAACTGGGGAACCGATCCGAAACCGGCTCAAAATTCGGTTCAGTTCAGTTCGGGTATTAGAACCAAAAAACCAGCAGTTCGGTTCAGTTTAATCTGATTTTTTATAAAAATGCGAAAAATCGAATAGCCGTCCATCTAGTGATCGTACAAAGTCCAACCATATATCATTGGATTCGTCTCGACGAGACGCGTCGAATGGT